AATGGAACCAACCGGCAAAAAGCATTAAGGCCGCAAAGACCAATGCACCAATTGCGGTACAATAGAGTTGTAATTCACTAGTTATTCCAGATGCTCGATTGCCAATAGAATGAAGACCAAGGCACTATGTCCTAGTCTTGGGTTGACTTCCTCTTTTGATGAATAAGGATAAGTACCCTTTTATGCAGTTGATGGTAAATTCCCTCTTCTTCACTTCCTACTCTCCAAAGCGCCTACCTTGGATTCGATGGAGTCTTTCTTCCCTCTATAGCTCACAGGTAGTTATCTGGTATCGGTACCCATGAACAGATTTGGATAAATAATCCAAGGATTAAGTGATCAGACTCGAGGTACCCTATATACTCAGAATAACAGCAAATAAGACTTCAAGAAAGAATAGTAATAAATATCATAATAGTAGAAATAGTAACAACTAGGTTTACATAAAACTAGTGTTGTTTGACGCTCAGGAAAAAACCAGGACACCCGAGTCTCTCTTAACAGAATACAACAGTCAGTGGATATCCAAGTCAGTGTCGAGGCACTTTAGTAGCCGACTGGGCGCAAATTTCCCAAGACTCAATGGAGTAAGTTGACAGGTGTGCATTTCCGATATAGCTCAGGATATCACCCTAGATACCCGAGGGTATCTCATAATGGCTAGAAGGGTGTCTGAGCTCTTATATGCAGAACCCTAAGTCACACCATGATGCCTACTCAGTAGTTAAATCAGTAGCTTTCCATTTACAGACATGTTCCACCAACTATCTCATTTTGTGAATGCATGTAGTATAGTACAATTATTAGTGAGGCACTGAGCTCGTAAGCTCAGCTTTCAGAATGTGTTTCCGTTCGCATATAGGGGCATATCGTGGGGAGTTATCGTCACCAGACATTCCAATGCAACAGTTCAAACCAGCCGAGACCATCAGAGTACGTCTTGAGTCATCTTTATAAGGCACGTACTATGTATGGACCCTTGTGTGTATTCAGTCGTATCTTTGAATTGTATTTGGTATTGTATTATTTTGAGATATATTTTGGGAGCTCCCCATTATTTGTAAACCCATATTATCACATTTTATTTTTATTGCTATGGATGGATTATTTTCAGTGATTATAAATAGTTTTTAAAGAAAATTTTTGGGTCACTATCGGTAGTCTCGTGTAACATTGTAATATATCGATCTTCGGGTCAAACTAGATTAGGGTGTTACAAGATTAGTGTATATATATATATATAGTATGCATGATGAATGTTATGATAATATGATGCATGTATATATAATGTACATTATACTTATACATTCATTATAAGTATGTACGTATATAAATATATAATATAAGTATACATTATACTTATAATATATATATAAGTAAATATCTTTATATAAGTGTATATATATATTATATAAATAATATATATACATATATAGTATTATGATGAATGTTATGATAATGAATGCATGTATGTATAATGTACACTATACTTATGCATTCATTATAAGTCTATAAGTATACATTATACTTATAGTATATACTTATATAAGTCTATAATATAAATATACATTATACTTATAATATAATATAATATATATAAGTATACATTAAACTTATAAAATACTTTTTAAGGACTAAATTGAACAAACATGAAATTACAAAGTAAAATTTAAATAAATTAAATAACACATAAGGATCAAATTGAAACAATTATAAAATGTAAAGCTAGAATTAATATTAAAATGGACTAAATTGCATTTATTTGAAAAGTTGATGAACAAAAGTTTATAGGGTTTAAAATAAAGTTTATGATGTAATTTATATCGTTTGGAGTAAATCTCAAGAAATATAAATGATTTTTTGCCGATTTTGAATAAAAATATAATTTTAAGGACTAATAAGTAATAAATACATTATAAATGCATTCAAAAATAATGGTGAGTGACCGGTTTGTTATAAATCAATAATGTTATTGACCAGTTTATTATAAATAGATAACATTAGTGACCAATTCATTACTTTTAAAACTTTTGTGAAAAAATAAAAAATTACTCAAGATTTAAACACCATTTGTATAGCTTACCCAAAAACATTTATTTTATTATATTAAATTCTAATTTGCCTCTCAATCCTCCCTCTTTTTCTCATTTTCATTGTGCGCCTAGGGGAAATGAAAATTTTTAATCTCAATTCCGCCACTTCTAACCTAAAATATAATAATTAAATCTAATTTTTAATTTAATATAAATAAGAATTAATAGATAAATCATTTAAAAAAATTAATTTATTTTTTATAATTAAATTTTATATGATAATCATAATTAATATAAATATTAAACTTAATTAAGAATTTGTTCTAAATTATTAATAATTATTTTTATTAACTTTATTAATTTCAATTTAATAATTTAATAAAATTTTTGAATATATTTATAGACTAAATTTATAAATATAAAAAATATACATACTTATTTAATGATTATAATTAATCATATACATTAAGTTATGAAGATGTATTTTGTAACACTATAATGTCATATATCCATAATTCACAACTTTGTCAATTGTCAGGTAAACGTCATATCAATTCAATAACAAGTCGGGTCATTTACAGATTGAGTCAATTACAAGTCATGTTGATAACAGGTCGGGTAGTACCAGTTATTTACCAGATTCATCTCGGGTTCGGGTTAATATCAGTAGAATGCAGGTCGGGTTCAGTTATCATATTATCGGTTCAATTCGAGTTCAATTCATTCTCAGATCGGGTGCAGGTCGAGTTCAGATCCACAATTTCCAGGTCCAACTCGGGTTCAGATCCACAATTTCCAGGTCCAACTCGGGTTCAGATCCACACCAGTTCGAACTCGAGTCGGTTTCAGATCACCACCGCTCAGGTCACAAACAGTTTTGACTCGAGTCGGTTTCAGTCAGTTTTACAGGTCGAGTCAGCTTTTTACATCCCTACTTCTTTGTTTTATTCTTTCAAGTGTTCTATTTATTCTGAATTGTGCAAACACGTTCCTTGTAAGGAATTTTTCAAAGTTTTTTATTTGTAATTTCTTTTTAGGAAGGATTGTAAACTTGAGACTTTGGGGTATAAGTCCAAGTGTGTTGTAAGGTTACACCTTATATTAAAATGTTTGAAAAAATTAGTGAATTTGTTGAAATCCTTATTGTGAAAGTTAAGGTAATAAATGTAGATTTCATTGAAGAAGTTAAACCGCTCTAAAATTGTTTGTGTCAATTTCTTCATTTTCTTGCAAAAAAAAAAAGTCATCATTCTTTTAATTGTCAATTCACCCTTCTCTTAGTTATTTCATTGGTTCGATTGACTCAACATGTCCATCTAAAGTCTTCTACTAACGAAGAGATAACAATGGTTGGAGGTGAATTTTTAGTTAGAATTCATTTAAAGTGCTCTATTAGAAATAAAGATAAATTTATAAAAAATATTTAATTAATTTTAAACTTTTGTTTATAATATTATAGTATTTTTAAATTAAAAATTATAAAATATTAAAAAAATAATTAAAAATATCATTATCAAGTTTTTACATAAATAATGTTAAAATCATTTATTTAAAAAATATAAATTAAAATATAGACTAATAAAATAATATTAATATTAATATTAATAACAATTACATAATAAAATTATAAAGTTCAAATAAAATAAGGGGTAAACTACTTGTATGACCACCCAACTTTATCAATTTCCACTTTGACCAACGATGATTTGATTTTGTCAATAAGATCATCTAACTATTTAATGCTTTAATAAGATCACTTGCAGTTACTAATTAACGGAGAGATAACATGTGGTTAAAAAATGGAATAATTCTTCATTTAGTCCTTAATATTTACATTTTCTATCAATTTAGTCACCATTTTAATTAAATTAAATAAATTTAACATCCAATTACATGGTGACATATATGATTAAATGATTGGAGCATGTTTTTTTAAATTTTAACTTATTTAATCTAATTTTTTTTTACTATTATGTGGTTAAAATTTAGGAATTTTGCTCTCTTTTTTACTTTACCCTAAGTCCTATAAAATGGTTGTTGCGTCATTTGAAAAGGATTTTAAGCTTCTTTAGTGCTAAAAAGTTGATAACGCACCTGTTATCTATGAGATTTACGGCTTATGTTGCTAGCTTGAAACTAAAAATGTGTTGTTTTAATATAGACATTCAACAATTCGTCTGTATCCCCCTCGGGGCGACCTACTTTCCCTTGCATGTTTGCTATTACTACGCTTTTATTTTCGGCCCATTCAATCCCGACTGTTTTTATTTGCAGTTACGACCCGATTGTGGTTGTTTAAATTCTGAAATAACACCATTTCTTTACTCAATGGTGCAAACGAGGATTGTAGCTTGACATCGGTTTGCTCGAGCTTCTTGCTCTACATTAGTCGGGTGACCAGAAGATAAACAGCAATGGAGGTGTGTAGCACAAGCGGGAGACAGGGTTGGGGAAGAAAATATATTAAAAAGGAGTAAATTGATATTTTGTCCCTAAACTATTTTAAGTTTATGAAAAGACCCATGATTTTTATCTAAAGTTTAAGGCTTAAAATAAAAATTAAATCATTTTTCAATGTGCCACATCATCAAACTAACGTCCCAGTGGTTAAATCTTAAAAAGATTATAAAGTAAGTTGTCAAAACTTGCATTTTTTTAATTTAGTGAGCAAAAATGTTCAAATATTAAATAAGTGACCAATTCTGTGTTTTATCCATAAAATAATAAAATTCAAATAGATCAATTTAAAATTTAATTTATTTAGTAATTAAAATGAAAAAAAAACTTGAAATGATTTGAAATATCATTTACTTCTTTCTAGTAAATTTATGTACATTTTCAGTCAGAAACAAAGCCTACATGATACACCGTCATCAATAAAAATAAAAATCAAATTATAAAAAAAACAATCAGACCAATAATAGCTTGACATGTGTGATGGTATAAATACAAATGTCGTCCAAATATTCCAGAAAGTCACCCCACTTGATGGATGGAGCCCAACCAAAATAACAAACCAATACTATCAACAAGTCTTCTTTTTTTAACTTATTACAAAATCACCCCCCACCTTAAAAAAAAATAGTTTTCACAACTTATATTTTCCCTCAAATCCTTAGCTGAAAGCGAGCGGTAAAACCCTTCATAACTGCCATTTGAATTGACGAATAAGTAGTGGACATATATATAATATATTCCAAGGAAAAGAGCAAAATGGAAATTCGCTAACGACTTTTTGAACCAAGCATTGATGTATCCACCCATCAAATACACATCTGTTCAACAAGATCACTCAATTGTCAACCAATCTATTCCAAGCACTCTTATTAACAAAACAGGATCCAACACACCTAACCATGCTTCTTTGATGCCTTGGCATTTGGAAACTCCACGACATCATCACTTCTCTTTCTCTTATGCTGTGAAGAAGTAGATGGCAGCACCTGAACATCCTCATCATCTTCAACGTCTTCCTCGTCTTCTTTTTCATTACCCGGCTCCATACCACTTCCTTCAGCATCATGTTCTTCTGCTTGCACCACTGGTTGAACCAGATAACCTTCACCATAGTCATCTTCCTGCCACTCCAATCAACAAATTTTGATTTTAATACAATAAGATTAATTTAAAACATCACAAATTCCACCAAATAGAAGCCAACATACAACTCCAATTAGCCAAACTGAAAAAGAACGCCAGAGGTCATTAAAAACTAAAGTTGCAACATGCAAAATATTTTTAGCCCCAATACCAAGAGTTTATGAATCAGATGTTAATAATTACAAAAATACCAAAAAAAATCAAGAACTAAACTACTGCAGCAACATAAAATTATGCTCTAAAGCCAGTATGTTCTTTTTTAATGAAAGATAATAAGTTTCTTTAAATAATCCGCAACAAAAAGCTACTCAATCAAAAATGTAAAACGGAAAAATAGAAAAGCAACGAAGTTATGATGAACATGAAATTGTCAACTAAAAGGTTCCAAAATTATCAATAATTCACTCAGAACACCATAACTAGAAAATATAATAATAGAAACTTCATAAAAAGGCAACCATGGACACCATAAAGTGACTTATCAGTTCTAAAACTATTGACCCAAAAACCAAAATTTAAAATTGTACTTTAGCTGCGATCCATAGAACATTAAGTTTGCCAACCAATTGACATAGATCTGTAAATTAACTGATTAGTGAACGAAAACAATATTATCAGAGAACCAGAAGACAAAACTAACAAACACAATTCAATCTAACCAAATAAAAATCTTTTCAGACAGAACCTACAACTTCCTTCTGGCAGGGTCATTACAGAAACAGGCATACACACCAACTAGAGAGAACAAGTATACAAGTTCCTTTTCATGACAAAACCACAATTTCATTAGCCTGAGGATAAAGCAATCACTTTCAAAGGGCTTGCTCTCAATTAAAACTTCAAATCTAGTACGCATTAAGGTAATTACTTTACTGTCCTCACCACAAAGACACACAAGAATGAAGAACGATATAAACTTTAAATGATCACTAGCTCTTCCGTGAGAACAAGTGACATACATAATTTGTAATATATATATGACTATAAACTTATAATTTGGAAACACTTGGCTAGCAGAATAACAAAAGCACAACACTTTTTCTCCTGATGCTTGAGAAAACAAAAGCACATCAAAACATAATAGCACGCCAGTTATTTCCTTGAGGGAAATCTAAGAAGACCATATCAATCAAACAATTCGCTTGGGTTACAACATAACAAAACAACAAGCAGAAAGCAGAAACCAAGACAAATCCAACAAGGTAAAAATAGAAGAATGAGTGGTTGTATTGTAAGCAATATGAAACCTCACCTCCTCTTCACTCTCTTCTTCATCTTCATATTCCCCATCATCACCGACACCTAGCTCTTCCTCACCAGTCTCAACATTTTCATCATCATCCCCGTCTTCTCCATGTTCATGCCCATCAATCTCACCTTCTGAGCTTGTCAAACGTCCAGTACTCTCTGGTTCTGCAAAGTCACCTTCATCATTATCTACCTCTTCCTCCTCTTCCTCCTCATCTTCCTCGTCACCGTCTATGTCATCTTCCTCATCATCACTATCCCCAATATCATGAACTTCCACAACATCATCTTCCTCATCATCATCATCAACTTCGTCACCTGAACCATTCTCATAATCATCGTCCCCATCTTCATCTTCATCTCTCCCTACTTCCTCAATCTGAAACCCATTCCCCTCATGGCTTAACCCATTTACTCTTCCGCCTATTTCCGTCTCTTCTTCATCTGCATCACTCTCCCCATCTTCATCAACATCAACAACCTCTTCCGCACCTTCGCTATGCCCATTACTTATTCTGTAATGCTGATCATCACCATCAATTCCCCCAGTCCCTGGATCATCTTCATCCACCTCCTCTTCATCTTCCTCCTCATCAGATTCTGTCCTTTCATTTTCTTCAGCATCCATTTTATCTAAATATTTCAACGATTTAATCAATTCAAAAACCCTAGATTTATAATCCTCAACTCTGGTAACCGGGCACTCATAAAGATCAAGGGACACAAGCTTAAGCTGGGCAAGCGGGGCAAGATTTTCAATATATTGAATCCGGTTGTTAGACAAGTCAAGGTCTCGGAGCGAGTCAAGGCCAGCTTCAACGAGAAATTCTAGGCCACCGGCGATTCTGTTGTCTGAGAGGATTAATTTCTGGAGATTTCGAAGACGAGGAAACTGTTCAAGAGATGAAACACCGATATTGGCAATTGAAAGATGTTGAAGATTCCCAAATTTTTCCAACAGGTTTGGCGAGGGGAGGCGACCTTGAACGCACTTAACCGCACCGTCAAGTGTCAAGGTTCTAGCCGTCGTGTGGTCCTCTTGCCCGTCTAATGCTGTCTCCACCGCTCTCTCCCAGATCTCGTCCATCAAATACCGCACCGTTTTTATCTCAAAAATAAACAAATAATGATTACAAAGCTTCTTTCTTGTCTAAGGACGTTAATGGGCTCAAAAAGATGGTTCGAAAAGGAAGATACTAAGGTGTGTCATCTCTGGTAAAGAGAATCAAATGAAGGAAACAACGAAATTTTAGATGAAACCCTAACCCTGGATTTTGCAGATCGAAGGTGAGCTCTTTCTTAACGTATTCGGACGGCTTAAAACCCTATAATTTTTTATTTTACCAGATGTACGGACTCTGTTATTTCAAATTGGCAGCGCTTGAGAATAAAAAAAACACAGGTTAAAAGAAATTTTAAAAAGGAACCCTAATTTCAAACTCCTATATATATATATATATATATATATATACTATTTTTTCCTTTGTTTCTTATTGGTTAATAGGAGTGGACGAGTCGGGATAAACCTCGTGAAGGGCGGCTCGTGGTTGCGGTTTTGTTTGAGTAATTATTGTAGAGATGTAAACCATTGGATTGAGGAAGTCACGGATCGTTGACATGGATGAAATGAAGGGTAGAGATCGTAGGACGGTGTGATTGTTCTCGAGAAGGATGTAGATGGATAGATAGATGAGAGAGAATGAGCTGGGGTTGACAAATGACACGTCGCTTTCATGGTAAATATCGGTACTCCTAGAAGAATACCAGACTATCAAGTTGGACCAAATTACGGAAGTGCCACCTGTTTAAGTAGGCAGGTCCGGATAATCTCTTGGTCCAGCCACAGGCAGCCCGGTATGCTTCAAACTCAAAAGTTTCCTTGAAGACGAGGGCAGTAGCAATTGGAATCCAAAACAATTTTAAGAGTAAATGATGCTATCCCTGTCTGCCGTGAATATCAAGTCAAAGGTCATTTTAATCCATAAGAGCCACAAAATAACGATCGCAAGGTTACGTTGCCCATGGTCATCTTAATCCTGCAAAAGTGTCAAGAAAGCATAAGCAGGTGTATCACAGGAATATACGCAACCTTATTAATCATGATTGTTCCACAACAATTCAAGGACCAGTTTTAAACTTTCACTTTGAGTCTCCTCCACTCAGATTGTTAACCTTACTTCCATTTTGACTCCCGGGTCCTTTAACTTCTGCATAACTCGGTGGCAACTTCGGTGGATGCACAATAGGCATATTTGGTGAAGGACTTGATGAGGGCGGTGAATGGAATGGCCAAGTGGTTGTACTCACATTTGAAGCCGGAGTGCTTGAGAACTGGCTTTGCCTTAGAGAACTGCTACCACCCTTTGTATCGGTCTTTGGCACATCTACTTTCTTTTTTCTCTGCACAGCTTTGTTGCGCTTCATTAACGTCTCCTCCAATGGTACTCTGGTTTTTATCTCCTACTGTCCTAACACTTGGTGCCCCAAACTGAAGCCAAGGCTGCTTGAACTGTGGTGGCCAGTTCAACATAGCAGCATGGGTTCCAGAAGAACTGGCCGTTGTTTTCTGCACCCTCTTCGCCTCTAGACTGAAGCCCTGGTTCTGACACGTCATTGGACTTATTCGGCTTTGAGTCTTGCTGCTTATCTCTATCCAATGTAGAACTCAGATCAACTGGATCAACTCTAGGCACTGAAGTTCTGCCTGTGGCAATTGTAGTTGTGGGAAATGCTTTCTCTGGAGGGACAACTGGAGTGTAATTAGATGGAAGTAGATCATCCCAATTCTCTAATAGCTCCTTGTAGACTTTCCGGAGGGTGACCTCCGTAAGACCTGTCACCTTACATATCTCAGCCTGTGTCTTGCGTTTGTCTTCTAATTGGCAAGCCAGATATATAGCAGCTGCAGAGATACTAATCGGATTCTGGCGAGTGCAAAAGCATTTGTTAATCACAACTTCCCCGATATGAGTTGCCAGGTCCTGAACACATGAAGAAGACTTCAATACATCCATCTTCAATTGAAATCAAGAACCATTTCAAAATGAGTTAATACTCATCACAATATGATATAGTCATCCATATTGTTAAGCCACCCCACACAGATACCAATGAATTGTGTAGCGTAAAATAAATTTGTAATCATATTATAAACTTAACTCGAAACTTGTACGCATTACAAGATGATTTCCCACAAGTCCTATCCATTTTTAAGCAATTTTTTAAACTCTTTTAACATTTATCTGCAAAGAATTATACAACTTCCAAAAATTACAATTCAACTTTATCAACTAAAGGTCCAAGTGTCGAGTGGCCAAAAGGCATTCACTCCTCAACTTGTTGAGGGTTCGAGCCACAAGGTTGGCATAATTGCATCTGAGTGGGTTTGTATCAAAAAACAAAACAAAAAAAACTAATGGTCCAAGAAGTGACTCTTTAAACAGAAAGGTACCTGTGCAGACTTGTTGAGCTGGATGAGAGTGCAAAATCTCGGCATATGAACTGATATTGAATTACTGTTGATCTGTTGACTTAATTGTAGAGCTTCTCCCAGGATCTTGATGTACTTCCCAATCTCTTTCTGTGGTACATTGGCAGCAATTGAGATTTCCTGTCATTTTACGAAAGCCATTAGAGATTACTTGAAAAAAATGGGGGAAACCACATGCAATAGAGATTTCAATCCAACATCCATGTTGACGTTGTAAGTGCTCACTCTTTACTTTTCCCTTTCAAGGGTCAAAGTCAAATTGTTAAAATCACATTGAAAACAAAACTATAATCATTAAGTTCCAAGATTTTAAAATCTTTATTCTATGGAATTCTACACTTTAAAGTTCTTGGTTTTCTTATGTTCTTCTCCACCATCTCAATTCCTCACGAAGTATTCACCTATACAGTCCTCATACCCTTGATTTACGTTGAGGCTTGCCCAGTTCTTGTCTCCATCCACCTCTAAACTTATACTCTTCATTCGATCCCAGTCAATTATCCACATTATCATTCATAAAAGCAACCACTCCGCCTTTGGTCTCACATTACACTCAAGAATGACATCTAAGGAACTTTAGCAGGATCTTAGTACAAAGACACAAGATTTACAGCAACCTTATCAGGCACGAACCAAATGGCCTCTGTGGTAAAGGAATTGTTGTTATTCTTGAGGACCCGGGTTCGAGCACCATAGATGCCAGAGACATGAGCATTCAATGTTGAAAGGTTGAGAATTATCTTCGAACAGTTATTGACTTGTACTTTCCCAGATTATTCAAAAAAAATAAAGTAACCTTATCAGAGCTGTACCTATAACTAGAGATAGGTGATAAGATATAGGTCCTCGGGGAAAGACTACAAGATTCATATCCCAAACACGAGTAATCAACAAAATATGCAAACACTTAAAATATACCACGTTATAACGAGGAGGAAAGAACAGCTATTTTACAAAATTTTGGTGTAGCACATACAATTATACATATTCACACATGCATAAACATAATAGGGCTCCTAGAAACAATATGCTTCACATATTTATCAAGGAGTCTTCAAAATGCAAACAGGCACAATTTTGAGCTTTGGTAACAGATTAACTTGATTCTGCCATACCACTAAACTGTTTTAGCATAAACAAGTCAAAATGTAAAACCCCACTTAATCTATAGAGAAAATTACCATGAACAGAAATGAATCAGAAATATAAAGTTACCTGTGGGGTTCGGGGCTTTTGAGCTTCCCTAACGGCCTGAACAAGAGCAGCAGTAGCAAGCCCCTCAACACTCCGGTTCCTCAAACAGGTAGCCGAACAACAATCCCTAAATAACTGAAACGCGTGATCCGATATATCGCAATCCAACCCCAAAATAGACGCCACGTCAATAATCTGCATATAAGCCCTCAAATTATCCACCACAACCGTCAAAGACGACGTTGACGAAGGAAGAGAGAAAGGACCGGAGGAAGAATGGGCTGGGCTCCAGGGACCACGTGGAAAAAGCCTTGATAAAACCCGTAGGCTGAAACGGGTCATCTTCGTGGATTTGGTAGGCGGAAGCTGGAGCGGGGATGTCGGAGGTCACGAGGCAGAGAGGAGTATCTTGAGCTCGCATGTGAAAGAGGTGGTGGTTTAGGGATTGGCGCTCCTTGACGACACGTCCGCACGAGGTGCACTCCGTTATGGAACGGCCGGTTGTCGTAGTGGCGCACCGACCTTGCGCCGCCGAGCAATACGGACACTTCGTCGGTTATTATTTATTACTCCCTATTACTACTGCCAGAAAGAACGGGGGCGTGGGTTCATTTAACTAACAAAGAATTCTTCTCTTTTTCCAGGTAAACGTGTATTTAAATTATCGGTTTTTATTTATTTTAATACCTAAACTTTTAATTTTTTTAAGTTATACTTAATATTTAGTTTTTATTTCATTTTAGTATCTCACAATTAAAAACATAACTCATTTAGTACCTAGACTATAAATTTTGATACATTTCAGTATCTAAACTTTTTTTTCAAAATTTAACGTTAAATTTTGAACAGTTGTACCAAAATAAAATAAAAACTAAACATTAGGTATGGTTTTGAAAAATTGAAAGTTTATATACTAAAACGCACTAAAAGTAACAGTTTAGGTACTAAAAACGTAGTTTACCCTTTTTAAAATCTTAATTGAGTTATTTTCACTACACATCCCTAAATCATACCAAAATTCCATATTGGTTTTCGAACTTTAAAACATTCTAAATCAATCTCTAAACTATCAATATCATTTCAAACACATCCTTGTGTTAGCTTAATAAACTATTTGAGTATTAAATATCAATTTGGGTGGAGTGTTAAATGTCCCTAACTAATCCGGAGTACCTCACACCCTAATTTCATGGTTATATTTTAAACATGAACAAAATTCTTGTGCCTCTGTGTTACGCCCCTAATTGTGGCATTTTTAACAGCTAAACCCCATACTAAAGGCATTTGTTTTAATTGAATTAACTCGTTGCTTTTTTCTCGAGAAAATCATCTTCTGCAGTTAACCTAAACGTACCAAGAAACTCGAACAAAAAAGAAACTGCCAAACTGCAACTAATTGAGCAGTAATCTCAATACCTTATAGGCCCATACAAGTTATTAGTTTTGGAGAGGACAAGCAAATAATAGGCGAATGCTTGTTCATTTCAGCTTCCATTTCCTTAAGTATGGAATTTTGGTGAGTTCAAAAATGTTTGTAGCTTTTGATTGCCGTGCAGTTGCACCATTGCTTGCTTTAAACTTTGTTTGTTTCAGTTTCCATTTCCTTGGATTTATCCAACGTGGTCTCAATTGGAGCCATAATGAACGAGCATGCAGCAGAATTTTATTTTAATAATGTTGGGGTCATAATGCAGGGGAAGAAGAATTTTATTCTTTAAAAATTTACTTCATATTATTTTTCTATGCACATGATATTTTAGTTTATTTTAATTCTATCTTATTTGTTGCACTCTTATTTTAGCATCCTATTCAATTCAACATATTTTTCATGTATGATGATGTATATGTATTTGGAAAATTCTACGTTGCTCAACGAGCAGCGACGAACACTACTAATTTAATTTATAAAAATTAAAATTCTAAATGACTCAAAGTATAATTATAAATTAGTTAAAAATTTAAAGATAAATTATTTAAAATGAAGGGTAAATTATAGTAGTGACCACCTAACTATTTCCCCTTTTCATTTTGACCAATATTTTTGAAATTTTATCAATCGGGTTACTCAACTATTTAAATGCATTTAATTAAGCCACTTGTCGTTAATATTTAACAGATAAGCTGATGTGACAGTTAATATAATTATACATTTGATCATTATTACTTATATATTCTATCAATTTGGTCCTAATTTTAATAAATTAAAATAAACTTAACTCTCAAATCTTTAATTTTAAAAGATTTTAAAAGTTACGACGTATTCTATATTTATAACAAAACAAAAATTTTATTAGAAATTTCATTTATGGTTCTCAGAAGCATCCCTTCAATTGTACCATAACCTCTTTTGGTTTTAAGGAAAATATAGTTGATTAGGCTATGCATATCAAGTTAGCTAGACAAAAATTTTATCCTACTACTATTTGCAAATGACGTCCTACTAGAAAGAGGTGATATAGTCTAACCTGTCAAATTAAGAAATTTTTATCCAATAATTTTCAAATAGAAAAATGTGACATATATTTCTTTCACATTTGACACAATCTTCCTTTAAAATTTTAAAAATTCATCACCAACCATAAAATTTTATGTTCATCTTTAATAAAAGTTTATACTGATAAGATTCTTGGTGGACTTAGCATGGAAAATTATGTACTAAGAGATTAACTTATATCAAAAGGGCAATAAATTTATTTTGCTTTAAATTTAATGTCATAAATTATTGCTTGATTTATACAATTTTTTAGAAAAATGTTTTGCTATAAATTTTGATTTGTTATAAATATGTCGTAACTTTTAAAATTAAAATAAAAAGTTGAATTTTGGGTCATTATGCATGGCACCATTTGATTTGAGGGTTAAGTTTATTTTAATTTATTAAAATTAAGACCAAATTGATAGAATATATAAGTAACAGTGACCAAATGTGTAATTATACCAAATATTTTAACTGCCACATCAGCTTCTTTGTTAAAATTTAACGGCAAGTGGCTTAATTGAATGCATTTAAATAGTTGAGTGACCTGATTGACAAAATTTCAAAAATATTGATTAAAATGAAAAGGGGCAATAGTTAGGTGGCCATTGGTATAGTTTACCCTTTATTTTAAATAATTTAATTATTTGTAAATTTTTAACTAATTTATAATTATACGTTGTATATCACCCCAACCCGTATCTTACCCGAATACGAGTTTGAGATGTTACATTGACTTTTTAAAACAATATTCTTACAAGATAACAAAACATTTGAACTTATATTAAGAAAATACAATAATATTATATTAAATTATGCTTCATTATTAAAATTTGGGAAAATAATGCATATTTATGAACAGTAATATATTGTATGAATAGTACCATGAACAGTAACATGAACAGTGAAAAATTTCGTATATAAATTGTGTATCGATGCACTGCTACAGTAACTTCGGCAAAATACGTATAAATTCATAAAAATCTAAGTTTTCATTCGTATAAAATTATCATTTACATATACACATTTAAAACATTACAAAACTCAATCATATGATTTTACAAAACCGATTAGAATATATCGTATTTAAACCTTTATTTACATGCCAACCACTATCATTATTACAAAATACATACTATACATTTCTTTTCTGATCTGATCTTTGGAAAAGAGAAACTGGCCTGTCTTGCATAACTTTTACCAATCTTCCTCTTCTCGAAACCTACGCGTGAAACAATCACACGCTAAGTCATTGACTTAGTGAGGTATGAAAACATATGATATTACTCTACTCATATCAATGCATAAACAATTAATACTATCATATCATATAAAAGCATATCTCCCATTTTATAACCAATGCACACATATACATATATCATTAACATACTTATCAGTACTCATATTACTATCATTAATTCTTTTTTATCATGTAATCATATATTGTACCTTTATATACTCACCATCGGGCATCCATGTCATTTCACAACAGAGCACACATAGTATCATATCAAGTTATTTATTATTTTTTAAAATCCCATGTATTAGCCCATGTATACTTTTGAGAACTTGAGGTATGTGAGTACATTGAGGTTGTGCACTATTATGCTGTCATCACAGCTCGTATAACTGTCCCGAAGGACCTATCCAGAGGTCATAAAGAACCTCGGCAATTGTCCATAGGTCCCGAAGAACCTAGGTAAAATGTCCATATATTCCTTAGAACATAGGTATATTGTCCATATGTCCCGAAAGACATAGGTAATTCTGTCCATATGTTCCGTAGAACATAGGTAAACCCTCGACTCTTGGCATGCCAACTATACCACTAGCTCTCATATTATATAACATGGACATTATCATTTATAACATTTCATATCACTTGTTCTTTCTCTTCTGTCACATACCACATGTATGTGTAAGCATATATTTCATATCATATAACATATAACATTATTACATGTAATCACGTAGATCATTTCATATGGCTTATATCATTTCTCATTTGTTCATGTACGTATGTCATTTCTTGTTCACATATGTTCATATATACATCACATAGCACGTAGAATAACATTTAAACTTATACATGTACTCATATACATACTTTCATATAGTCCATATATCACTGCCATATAAGTTCTCTCATCATTTTACATAATCACTTATATAACATTAAATATATATTATATTCATGTATTTACTTTCACATAGCTCATCACATAGGCATGTATTCTCATATTTCATTCTCATATATTCACATAACTTGGATCAAATATACATATAGTCACGTAAATCACTTTTGCATAGCTTATATCAACTTTTCATGTCATTTCACACTTCTTGTTACATTGCTTATATCTTACTCTTATGTCTTCTCATATACATATATTCACATATACATATCATTTCATTATCCTTATTATTATTCTTATCATCACCATTAATCCTTTTACTTACCATATTCATATCAATAACACATATACTCATACACACATATAAATCATAAGAAACACATACTTCTATGAATTCATGCATTTTACTATTGTAAATAGACTTATCACAAGTCTTATTTTCCATTGAATATCATATACTAAATAATGTGCACTCACCTTAGCCTTGCTTTGATTCGATCATAATTCTTTGATTGTTTCATAACTCGTTTAGGCTCGATATCTACATAACATAAATTTCGAGACGATTTTCAGAAGCCTAAACCTTATAACCTATGGGTGCATCGGTACCCAAAATAGCTTCAAAATTTCCATGCATCGATGCACCCCTTAATGCATCGATACACCTTCAAAATTGTCTTAGTGCATCGGTACCTATTCATAGTGTATCGATGCACCTATCCAAAATAGGCTATTTTCACCCGAAATTCATCACTACTTCACTCAAGTTTTCATGTATAAAATCCTTATCATGCTTCTAAACTCATCTATAACAACTTTAACTAATTTCTATCATTCTAACACTTTATAATCTCCCATATTTCATCCAAATTCTTAGGGCTAAGAATCATACCAAATTTTCCATGTTATCCAAACTTAATTCTAACACTTCTAACTTCTTATTCTCATAAATGACAAGTCAAATTCATCCTCCAAATTCATTTAACCCTTCTTATTCAAAATTTCACTTAAAAACCCATTTTCTTTAATTTGTCATAACTCCTTTATCTTTTGATTTTAAAATAACTTAAGCTTTCCTTAAGCTTAGTTATCATCTAATGATCAAAACTCAACCTTTAATTCAACAAATAATCAACTAATTAAGAAACTCACCTTTGCTTGCATGCTCCATGGTGGAGAAGAGAAGAAGATGAAGAAGATGAGAGAATTGTGTGGAATCACAATGGATTCCACGTGGGTTTCCCTTATCTTATAAGGGAAATAAAAATCTTTCATGTCAAATGACCATTTTGCCCTTTAGTTCTTTTAATAATTACTAACAACTTCCAGGAAATATCTCCACATAAATCATTAAACTATTCAACTATTCTACTTTTATCACCAAATTCTAAAATTTTACAATTTCGTCACTAACCCGGTATTGAAGATGTCACACGTTGAGTCTTTTAAAATTTAAATTTTTATAAATTAAATTAATAATATTTATCATTAATTATGTTCATCGCTGCTCGTCGAGCTTAAAAAAATCATCCTACGTATTATTGTGTTTTTAGACTTTTAGTATAAAATGGGAATAAACT